GGGCAGGGGATGGGCTGTTACGGAGCCACAGAGGCGGAGGACCTCGTTCGAGATGGGGCACGATTCGATGAGAATACGTTTATCCTTGACCATATCGATCAGCAGGGGGTGTTTGAAGAGACTGAAGCCGTGGCCGATGCGTCGGGTGCCAAGTAAGATCGCATCAAACACATTGTTATCAGTGTCAGTGCCATCCCCAAGTGTCTCTCCTGCATGAAAGAAGAACGGGAGGTTGACGCCTTCCATGGAGCACTGCTTGCGGAACCAGAAAAGCTCAGGGAGCAGATCAGAAAGGGGTCGGCCCAGATCTTCGGGACCAACCAAGTCATAACCAGCAATGAGGTCAGGGAAAGCAATCTTGGTAGCGATGCAGCAGTCCATGTTCTCTACGATCAGGCGGGTCGGCCAGCTTCTCAGGCAAGTCCAAATAGTGGCGAGACCCCAGAAACCCTTGCCCTCCGGCGATTTCTTGAAGTTATCGATCTCTTCGCGTAGAACCTCAAACATGTGGATGTAGTCTTTCTCAGGCTCCTCTCGCTTATCACGGCAATAGTTAAGTGGCCAAGTGAATCTATGACTGTTAGAAGAAGATCAGAAACTGTTGACTTGAGACTTACCGAAGTTCGGCCCAGTTGACGCCGTCATCCTTGAGGTTCTTCATGAGCTCGCGGAGGAAGATCCGGAACATGGGTTCATAGTGAATGATGGTGGCACAAACGAGAAAACACTTTCCAAACTTGACCCAAATGGCATCGACTCCATGGTGTTGCTCATGGCTGTCTGTGACGGAAAGAGTGCATCGGCCCTTCAGCCACTTGAGAAAGCCAGGTCGTCCACCATGGGGAAACTCATCTGCAGCCTTTGGAAGTGGGACAAAGGCATTGGGCTTATAGCTCTCTTCCCAGATAGATCCATCAGTGTCCGACTTGGTTCTGTATCGGAAGCTAGGGACTGCATCCTCTCGCGATTCTTCAGTGTTAAGAGGTCGGTCGCTACACATGTGCATTCCTGGCATTTTCAGAAGCTCGTCAAAGAGAAAGTCAAAGTTGACCATGGCATCCATGTGAGCGTGAAGCAGCGCTCCCTTTGGCATGCGTCGAACAATCTTCCAGAGGTTGGTCTTCTCCATGCGATCCTTGGCCAGCATGAACATCATTCCGGGAAAGATGCACTCGTTTCCTGCTTGGGCCAGCTCTTCCTCAACTTGAGGGGTCCAGATGGAGTCATTCTCCTGGTCGCGGATGCGGTCGACAATGTCACTCGCGCGCTTGGCAATAGGTGAAAGAGAGGCTCTGAATGAGGCATCTGTGCGAGACTTTTGTTCTTGACTCATGAGGTTTGCTCGGCCTGTGAGATATTGCTGAAGGAAGGGATCCGAGAGTGAGGGGATGTCTTGAGAGACTTCCTCCCACTCTTCAGTGGACATGGTATGCTCGTCCGCCATGATTATGATTCCTTGATCGACTGGAGGAAGCAGTTGCTCTCAAGTGTTTGCTGGAGGTTTATGAATAAGTTAGAGTTAGAAGTTGTCCGCGAGCGGTGAAACGGTAGGATACTGTAGGTGGATTAGGCAGGTCGGGGAAGCGTGCTAGGCAGAAGATCGCTGAAGTCAGATAAGCCGCTTATGAGAACGAAGGATCAAAACGAGGACACGTCAGATGTGGTGAGACATGATTTGATGAAGAATATGACACGTCAATGTCGAAAGGCACTCTATTAGAGGTGAAGTGAAGCGTTAATATGTAGAGTCGAGGATGTGACGTAGAGGCACAAACGGTTACGCTTTGAGTTGAGCGTAACAAACGGTGTATCACTCCAAGGCCTTCGGCGATAACCGACATCTTGTTTCACGTGACTGTGCAGTCGTTGCACCCACAGCGTGATTCACCGTATCACAGCCTCTGATTGGCTGAGCTAGTCTCACAGCTCCCAGCAGGTAGACGCACCTTATCACCTCCAGGGTCCATGCATCGTCACACTTGAGTCCCTGCAACCAATCCTCTCCTCAAGATGTTCTCCCCGGTAGCCTGTGGCTGGACGCATGAAATGAAGCTATCCCCGCTTTCTATCCTGCGGTGAAGAAGGATATGCCTGGCCTGTCACCCACCTTGTGCCTTGCATCTCGGAGCATGAACGGCATAGCACCAACAATCACGTCGAAATGTCACTCTGCTAATTAGTTCGCGGCTGTTCCTGACAGGCCATTCGCTCCTGAGAATGGCCCTAGTTTTGTTCGTCCTATAGCGCGAAACCCCGAGACTCCCAATGGAAATCGTCACGTCCATCACTTGGAATCACCTGCACGGGACATCACAGCTCTAGAGACCGACTTTTCGCGATAAATGTGACTTTCCGCTGACCATCGTGAGCCAAGTGGCTTCCTTTCTGACTCAATCCTTCGACCAACGTGCATTCTCACATTCGGTTGGATGCCTTTGAATGGATTTGTTTCTGCTGATCTTTCATGAAGCCGAGCCCGATGGGTGATGGATAATGAGGTCTCCAGAATTATAAAAGGTGAGGGAATTCCTGTGATGTCTACGATGTTTAGATTCTCTATTACTATCTTCAACAATTGAGCTGGACTCAAGAGTATTACAAGTTCATTCTATACTTAATCTACCTGCTCACATCATCCATCATACTCTCTTCAAGATGAAGTCATTCTCTCTGGTCACTCTCTTGTGCACCATGGCCACAGCTGCAGTTATCCCTCGTGATACTGTCTTCGATGGCCATTGCTGCTTCACGTTACAAGATGTGGCAACTAGTGCTACAGTTCAACAAAACAGCGACGGCAACTTGCTGCTTAATGCTGGCAAAACCGACGGCTTCTACTGTATCGATCTGTCCAACTCTCAAGACATTCTTCGAGACAACGCCTTCAACGCTTGCTTTCTAAGCCCAAGCGGTGCTCTCAAATGCGTCGATCCAACGCCTGGTTTCCAATCATGGACGCTACAAAAGAGTGGCAGCAACACACTTCTTAAGCACGATGGAGGAAGCACATTCAACTCATGCTCAAAAACTTCTACGAGTGCAAAAGGCACTGTTCTATATGGAGACAAACACACGGATGCCACGACGTGTAAGAAGGTTACACTGAAGGCGAAGAATTTTAAGGGCACATGCAAGAATCTCTAGGGTTGATCGGGGACATGCATACAATATTTGATACCCATTCTTTGCACTTAGTTCAACGTTCTTAGTTTCTCTTGAGCTTTCATTTTATAAGTGACAAAAACAGTGCTGGCCCCATATTCGCAAGGATGAGTGAGATGATACGGCCATAGATGAATATCAATGGTGCTCTTAAAGCTTGGCAAAGATCTCGTTTGTGGCGCCTCCATACACAACTGCGAAGTCCTTCGCAAGCTGTTGTCGAGCTGAAACCTTTTCTCGCTTCGTAGTGACATTCTTCCCTTCCAAGAATCGGTGGAAAATATCCAGCGACACTTGATCACCGTCACTACCAGCGTCAACAAAGAGAAGAACAGACACTAGTAAATCTGCCACAGCCCAGAGAACTTCCCTGGCATCTCCCATCAAGTCTACCAACGATTCTCGTTCAATACGCTGCCTCAGGCTCTTCCAAGCGATCAAAGGGTTCAAGCCTTCAGGCCAAGAGACCTTTCCTTGAAATGCCATACCCTTCTTAATAGAGTCTTCGAGGGCGTTCAGAGTGTCCTGGCCAGCCTTTGGATGCTTGATCGCCCTCAAGAAGTCGGTGCTCAAAACATCTGTTGTGCCCTCCCAGATAGGCAGCACAGCGCAATCGCGATGGAGGCGAGCGATATTGAGGTACTCTTGTTCCTCATTGGCAAGGTACCCAACACCACCGAGCGCCTCCATACAGGAGAAAAGTAGCTGTACCGATGGTTTGCAAACGTAAGCTTTTGTGAGCTGAGTAAGAACCCGAATCAATGGCGCAGCATGTTGTGCAGAAGGTGTCAGCGCCTCTAGCGCAGGTGAGAGATTTGCGTCCGACGCTATGCCATGCTCCGAAACGCCAAGGACATACGATGTAAAGATGGTAAGAAGCATAAGGCCACGATACTCGGAAGATATCTTTGAAAGGGTTCTCATGTGTAATGAACTCTCTGTGAGCTTCATTCGAGTCCCCTTTCCACCACCAACCTCTCGAACTTGAGCATATGCTCTTGCGATGGCAAGCCCTCTTCCCAAATAACCCACAGCAGCAACTGAAGAGTGAACTCGAGTCAAGGTCAAAATTGTTGCGATTTCTTGGATGCCTCGGCCTTCTTGCCCTATAAGCCATGCTCGCATGTCCTGGAGAACTAGTTCAGCTGTTGGGAGACTCTGTGTGCCTGATTTGTTTTTCAAGCGTTGGATGCGAACTCCATTAAGTTGCTCCCCGTTGCTTTTCGGAAGTCCGGTGGCTGTGGTAGCACTCGCATCGTGTTTATACATGGGAGCCATAAAGGTTGACAGTCCGCCTTTAGATGTTCGAGCAAGGAGGACAGTCATTCTCGAGTCCGTTGCTGACGAAAACCACTTGAAACCATTGATACTCCATGGCCCTAATGGTATCTTTTCATCTTTCGAGGCGAGTTGGATCTCAGAAGTTGGCATGTTCACTGCTGTTGTTTCGGTCAATGACACATCACTTCCCCCTGTTCGCTCAGTCATCCACTGGCCGCTGGTCCAGGCACGCTGTGGATCTCGTGTGGTTAGATGATTGAAAGCGTTCTCGAATACTTTTTTTTGCTCATCTGTGAGCTTTGCAACGAGTTCTGGGCTACTAAGGTGTGTTTGTAGAAGTCGAGCAGCGCCATCCTGCATAGCGGAAGGACAACCGACATTGGCACACGATGGCGTCCAAAGTTGTATGCGCATGAACTGGTATGCTCGTGCAAATGCACCATATGGAGTGTCATATCCAGCGGCGACAAATCTAGGCACGTCAATAGTTGATCAGTCAACAACGTAGATGTCTTACCCTCGGGACAGGCCAAAATTCTGAAGACCACGCCACCCTTCACCAGTGACTAAATCACCCTTCCACTGGCCAAATACATCACGGCCTGATCCTTTAAGGAACGGTTTGTTATGTTCAGCATCCGTGATCCAGGCAAAAACTTGGTCGGAGAGGACATCATCTCCAAGTGAAGCCAGTTCAGCTTGGACTTGCTGGACGATCTGCCGTGGAAGAAACACTGTGAAGACAAGTAAGCACAGGCCTCTGTATAATAGTAATTGGTCTTGAACTCACGCTTAAAGCACCTCTGGAAGGTCACATCATCATGAAACTGATTGTTCAGAACGGGAGGCTTCTGAAAGAAGCCCTTATCAGCGCCTGAAGCCTCCATGACTGAATGAGGTGAGAGAAGGCGAATTTGAACATGTTGGATCCCTTCCGAGGCTCCTTTATCACTGTTGGTCTGCACTGCTAACACTTGTCAGGGCATTCAATCACAAGCCATCAACTACATCTCATCGGGGACCTCCAGTGGGGTCAGACCTCCAACTCGAGCCAGTATTCCGCCCTTTTGGGTAAGTCGTGCGGAAGATATTCCGGGTTCATGGATTCCTGGTGATTTCATCGCGGAACGAAGAGCCAGAAACGGAATGTCAATCATGATCGTTGGCGGAATTCCTTTCACATCCATGCATGTTTTCTCCGCATTCTTGACTGGGGTTCATACCTTGTCAGCTTGTCCCGAGGTTTGGCTTTGAAATCTCCACATGAATCTATTCCCGGGCCTGGTGTCGATCCAGAAGACTAACTCAAGGTCGTATTCTTGGAAGAAGGCGTAGTTTGTCACGGGAGATACAAGCCTACAGTGTGGGAACAAGTTTTAGCGATCAAGGTAAAGATTGTCGAGAATCATGAAATCATTCATCAAAGTTTGACCAGGATTGCCCTGAACTTGTAATGATATCAGTATCAAGTCATAAAGACAAGTTTGCTTGGCAGTTCTCGCAAAGCGTCTCAGTCTTTAGACTCAGTGTGGCCGCTTGTCGGACAGGATCTACCAATGCCAGACCCAATGTTCCTAGTAAGTATTTCTTCGATGCAAGTTAGTACATTCTCAAAAAGGACTTATAGCAATAAAGACTAAAGGCCACAGAACGTTCTAAGGACAATTGCAATAAAGAGTGAAAGCGGAGTTTAGTTCTTTCAGCTACCTAGATATACAATAAAAATGAAAGCCGCGATACCAGCCGCTAATTTGTTGCCTTGTTACTACCAGTACCAACATACAGCACAGCTGTAAACTAAACAAAGTGAACATCCATCGACACAACATAGTCAAAGACTGTAGTACTGACCCATATTGAAAGAAGCCAGATGCAGCCTTAATAATGGCCTTATCCCGTAAACTGGTCACTCAACCACTGGCGAAAGCTTCTCGGCTGCACATTGACGAGGCCATTCAAAGATGTATGCCCAAAGTCGTAGCGTCCCTCAACAGTAGCTTGAAGTTGCCGATAAAATGCAACTTTGGCGTAGTCTCCCTGTTGATAGAAACCACTCATAAGTCCTGTAATATCTGAAGCTTGCCATTGAGACAGAGAAAATGCCGCTTAATGAGTTAGCATAATCTTTGCTTACTTATGCTGTCAACTTACCGTTCAGGGTTCTTGAGCACTGCCCAACAATGTCACGAAGCGACAGGCGGTCTCCTCTCATCGTAAACTCGCGAGGCCAGTTCGCAGGTCCCAAGTCAATGGCAGCAACGATGAATTGAGCAACGTCATATACAGATGTCATGCAGACGCGCACAGTATGCCCTCGGGGATTCTTTTCAACGCACTCCGCAGTATAGGTATTCATGTCCAGGATGTATGATCCAACGTTGGACAAGTTTGAACCATAACCAATAGCCAAGCTTCCGAGCCCCTGGGGGAGAAATCTCTCCATGAAGATACCGCAAGAGAATACGGTCCACTTCATATGGGATGATCTTGCACAGCGTCTGAGATGCTGCCTGGCTTGGGACGAGTATGAATAGGGGTCGAGTTGATCGTTTTCGGGTCGCCTCTCGAGACTTCCTTCGAACTCGGACGGAACAAAGAATTGTACACCGCTTTGGACAGCTGCAGTGATCAGGCTGATCTGTTCAGCCCCTGAAAAGGTGCAGATGACAAGATTCACGCCGTGAAGTGCGTATGCTAGGCTATTCTCGTCATTGTAGTCCACAACCATGACTTGAACATCAAGTGTTGCATATTCGGGACGTGACTGTGTTGTCAGAAACATCGCATATACATAAGAGTAATACTTACAGAACGGGAGAGAACAACAACTTGATAAGCGTTTGCTGCTTTGGAAATATGACTTGCCAGGAGATATCCAAGGCCAGAGCCCCCAGCTATAGCTATTCGCATCATGGTGAAAGTAGTAAACGCTGTTTCGGCAAAGTCTACCAGGACAGTTTACAGATGCTAGGATAGTCGAGAAAGAACTAGAGAAGGAATGACTGAGGTTAAACTTTTGAGAACTTAGCGTTACCTAAATAGCTTCTTGTCTGGATTCTGGACTCAAGATGTTGGGGGTGAAGTTGAGCCTCAAGTCTAGACAGACGCATGGCTGAGTACGGCAACAAGGATTCCATGGTGAACTCAGTAAACAAGGCTCATCGGAGAGGCCTCAGTTACAGGCAGAAGCAGGGCAACAAGACATCTATGGTTCAAGGTCCAACCAAGAGCCTCTACTGGCTCGTGATAAGTTGCCGTGGAGTTAGTAACGGACGAATGTCTGCACGTATTCACAGGATAGCTCTCGAAAGCTATCTTCAACCTCCTTTTGGTTCCGGTTGTGGGGTGCACTGGAATTCCTGCTTCAAGTGATAGGTCCGGAATGGTGTTGATTTGCCATGTGAAGTCAGGGGTCTCTAAATAAGGGTGCCTAACGAGTTTAAGGGGCCAGGAAGTTGTGAGAAAACCTAAACTACCAATCGCGGATTGGCCCGGTCAAGTTACAAGAAGTGACAATATCCTTCAGAGATCTTACACGGCATTTGTCTGGCGGTAGCCATAGGGTACAAAGGCAGTGCACATTGAAGCACAAGACTTATCGTGATCACATGCAGGTTGTTAGTTGCCTCGTTAGCCTTAGGAGAACCAGTCCGTTTGGTTGATGCAGCATGGCTGTGTTGAGGTTCACGGTGGATATGGATGTCTCGTTCGTGGGAACTCGATGTCTAATCATGACATTCTCAGACCCTCAAACTGACAAGCCAGTAATAACCATACACCTGATCGATTGTTTATCTTCCACCCTTGCTCTATGCTTCCGCCACAAAGGAGGTGCATAACTCTGCGTCAGTGACGGTCACAATAGGAGTTGACCGACCAATCTTTAACCTGGACTTATGGAAAAGGTGTTTAAGCACGATACATCGACTGCGGTTCGTGTTACACGCCTAGAAGGTATACAGAATGCCTTGTGAACTTAAGAAGAGGCAATTCATGGTTCGCGGCATGCAGATATAGTTCAACGCCCGCCCCATCCGCATCACTGCCTCGGACAAGCCGTCATTGGCTCGAAGATAGGCTACACTCATGCTAGCAAGGCAGAAGACACTGTAGCCTGTTCTAGGGTGAGATCGCAGCGAGGCTCTGGTTCTCGGGGGCAAGAGTATCGAGTGTAGATCAACAACTTCAAGGGCCCATATGGAGATTGGGGGCCAAGACCCTGGCCCATCAGTGGTTGAGCTAATGCAGCAGCCCCCATTATCCATGTCTATTCCCCGTAGGGCTGACTGGGGTTCATAGTGAGTGGCGAGCAATTGGGCATATTCATTGGGCATTGTAGATATTGTTTCGGTGGGAGACAAGTCTTAATCTAACGTCCTTCTTGCCGTGTGGCACCGGTGACTTGCATAGCCATTTTCGAGAAACTCCAGTGATGGTGTAATTTTTGACGATCAGGAGGGTCTGATCGGAAACGGCCGTTATCGAACCGGTCTATTGGTGTTAATCTGCGATTGAGATTGGCCATACGCAAGTGTGTGCGTGTGTAATTGTTTGTGTTGGAGGTTGTAAGCTGCATCGCGACACAGGATTTTCAGGTACTTCTATGCAGAGGGAGCCAATTCACCACCTCAGTCTCTTTCAGAAGAAGCTTTTTTGCTGCAACGCGGGAGTTTCGCTGCGATTGTCCTATTCAGTTAATGTGTGTGCTTAGGAAAGGTTTTCCCCGGTGAACAATGTATCAAGTCGCAGCATGGTTAGTCCTCATCAAGTCACTTTCCACACTTTCTACATACCTTAGCTACCAAGATACCACCAGGAAGCTTGAAACTTCAAATGAGAAGACTCGGGTATGTTTTCTTGAAGTCCCCATCTGGGTAAGGCCCGAACTGTTTGAAATTCTCAGTGAAACATCAAACTGAGAAAGGATGAACACTACCATAGATGCATGCAAATGATCATAATACCGGGGTACCTATATTTCCCAATCATATGCTAGTTGGGCTGCATCAAAGCACTATTGGTGCCTTGTCGTGGTTGCACGGGGCTGCCAACAGGGCTCGTTGCTAGCTTTTTGACACTCAAGAATGTGTCCAGCATTATCTCAATTACGTGATAAGTCATCCCAGTGACCAACCTGTGAATTTCTTAACCTTCAGGTTAAAGTTTCGCAATAAGACATGTATAGATTTAACGGTAGCACAGTTCTGCCATAGATGGCAGTTTCACCTGAGACATCTCCAGGCTACACAAGTTGGGGCTTAAAGCCTGATGAAACTGGCTTTCAAGTCTCTCCTGGAGCGTTTGAGACCTACGTACAGAAATACTGATTTCATCCTCCCCGAGCCCATTCAGGTCCAGCCCTTTGCTAGGCAACAGGCCAATATCATGTTTCGCCTTGTCTAAGCCTGGAGTGCAGTCTCATCCCTTGTGTTACCACTACCCTTCCTCCAGCCCTCAGTATGGTCAATCTTCTTCTTAGCCACACTTTCAGACCCCTCAGCTCCCCATGCACCTCCTCCAGGTGTGCAGATAATGATACGATCTCCAGCCTTCATAGCAGCTGTGTTTTTAGCCCCCATGTTGATTCGTCGCTCCTCGTATTCAGCATCCCCTGCATCTTGCTTTGTGTGAAACTGTTCCAGAGAAGCCTGCCAGTTGGCCTTTTCAACGTTGCGCACCCACAGGTTCAGACCACACTCTCCGTCACCGCCACCATTCAGCCCATATGGGCGATAGACACGGCGTTCACTGAGGATTGATACTTGAAGGGGGATCCGGAACTCAATGTCACGGATGACACCGTCACCACCGCGATGTTGGCCTCGCCCTCCTGAACCGGACCGAATAGAGAACTCACGTAGAAGTACAGGATAACGACGTTCGAAAATCTCCGAATCCGTGATTCGAGTGTTTGTCATATGACAGTGAACACCACTGGTTCCCTCCCAGTCAGAACCCGCACCACTTCCGCCAGCAATCGTCTCGTAGTATCCGAAACCCTTGACAGCTTCGGTGCCGTCTTGGTTGCCGCCAAATCCAAAAGTCAAGTTGTTACAGCATCCCTGACTGGCAGCGCAAGCCTGGAATGCCTTGAAGATAACATCTGTGATGCGTTGACTGGTAAGGACATTGCCTCCCACAACTGCAGCCCCTGGGGACGGCGACAGAATGGACTTGGGAGGGATCTTGACATGAATAGGCTTCAGGCATCCTTGGTTAAGTGGGATGTCTTCGGAAATCAGGCATCTCAAACAGTAAATAATAGCACTGAACGTGATTGCCTGGGGGGCGTTGATGTTTCCGTAGACTTCGGGGCCAGTACCCGAGAAGTCAAACTCCGCTTCACCCTTTTCTGGATCAATGCGGATTTTCAATCGAATGGGAGAACCATCGTCCATAAAGTCAACTGCCGAGAGATCCCTGCCTTCGAATCGCTTGTAAACATCTTTGAGTAGGCGGCGCACACACTGCTCAGCATTATTCTGGATATGGACCATATAGAACTGCACTGTCTCCTCACCATACTCTGCGATCAGAGTCTCAATGAGTGAGATTCCCTTTTGGTTAGCCGAGACTTGGGCTCTCAGATCGTTGATATTATCGGCCAGACAACGGGTTCCACTGCAGCCTGGATACTTGGCGGGTTCTTCGTAGAACAACTCGACAACTCGTTTCTCATCGAACTTGCCACCACTCACAAGCTTCTCACTTCTGATAGAGGCGCCCTCTTGGTAGAGCTCTCGTGAGTGAGGTGGCATACTTCCGGCGCTAATGCCACCAATATCAGCATGGTGAGCTCGAGACGCAGCGTAGAAGAGGATGTTTTCTCCCTTTTCATCAAACGCTGGCATCAACAAGGTCACATCCGGAAGATGAGTTCCTCCATATGAAGGGTGATTAGAGATTATGACATCGCCCTTCTCCAGCCTTCCTTTCCAAATCTCAGCCTGGCGTCGTACACAAGTAGACATCGAACCAAGATGGACAGGTAGATGAGGAGCGTTGGCTACAAGGCCGCCTGTGGCGTCGAAAATGGCACACGAAAAGTCAAGTCTCTCCTTGACATTTGTGCTGACACTAGTCTTTTGTAAGGCACGCCCCATCTGCTCAGCAATTGCCATAAATCGATGACCAAAAATACTGAGCATGATGGGATCAACTTCGCGATCCTCAGATGACTTGGTAGACCTAGATCCATTAGAGGGCGATATGTTTGTGGTCGAGAGACAACTTACCCGGACTTTGCTCCCTCCTTCTCCAGATTAATGACTACATGAGTCTTGAGAATAACCGCGGTTGCCTTTGGTGTTACAACGATGGTTTGGGTGCCGTCGGCAAGCATGGCTGGTCCAGGGATCGAATCGCCGGTATCTAGATCTTCAAGCTTGAATATTGGGGTTTCCTTCCTACCACCCTCAAAGTATACCTGTTGGCTGTCAAGCTTCTTCTTGTCAGAAACCATCTGCTGCTTTAGTTCCTTGAGTTGCTTGTCAACTGTATCGTCTTGGTGTCGGAAACTCTTGCCGATACCACGAACACGGACATCATCAACGATGATGTCTCGCTCGTCAAGCGTGAAACCAAATTCATATCGGTGCTGCTTCACAAAAGCTTGGCCAAAATCCCATTCTTTCCCATCAAAATGCTTCTTGGCCTCCTCGGGGGTCGGTCTGACAATCATGAGGGCTGACTCAGTGCCACGGTATCTCATGTTGAGGTATTCTTCAAAAGCAATTTCATCTTCTTGGAAGCCTTGATCTTGCAGGGACTTTCGTGACTGGTCCTTGAGCTTCTCCATTTTCTTCTTCAGTTCATTAACTGTTCTGTCATCGTCCTTCCATACCATGGAGTCGGGCTCCTGTCGTTCGTCAACGACATCTGCTAAAGCCATGCCGTATGCAGAAAGAACTGAAGAATATCGATGAACCAGAATTTGCTGAATGCCCAAAGACTCCGCAATGGCGACAGCGTGCTGACCACCAGCACCACCAAACGTTGCAAGTCGATGTTTTGAAGAATCGTGTCCCTTGGCTTCGGTAATCGACCGGATGGGGCGAGTCATTGTCTCATTAGCTACGGTCAAGAAGCCATATGCAACTTCGTCTACCGTTAAGTTTTTGTTGTTTTCCCGGTTCACTTGATCTGCAAGCTCCTGAAGAACCTTTCGGCTGGCCTCGATATCCAGCCCCTGGTCCTCATTCTCTCCAAAAATCTTAGGAAAGAATTCAGGTAGTAGGCGGCCAAGGACCAAATTTGCATCTGTCACGGTGGCTGGACCTCCTTTACGGTAACACGCGGGACCCGGGTGAGCGCCTGCGGACTCAGGTCCAACAACGAAAAGACCATTCCTGAAAAAGAGGCGAGAGCCGCCACCGGCAGCGACCGTATTAATGTCCAATTGTGGCGACTGGATTGTAACACCAGCAGTCGTCGTCTCGAACACATGTTCGTAACGGCCTTCACCATATCTCGAGACATCGGTACTTGTACCGCCCTACTCAAGTTAGTCTGCTGCTTGGAAAACAACGTTTAACTTACCATGTCGAAGCCGATGACCGGTGTCTTCGTCTCTTCATCATACGAAGTGATAGCATATCCCACGACACCTCCTGCAGGGCCGGATAGAATTGCCTTGAGTCCTGTAAACTTTTCCACATCGACAAGGCCACCATCACTCTGCATGAACTCGCATCTCGCTCCCTTGGCACCCTTCTCCTCTTTCACGCTACGGGTTCCGAGGCCGCCTTCAAACCCAGCCTGGAAGCCATCAATGTACTTGCGGATAGCCGGTGTGAGATAAGCATCGGCACAGACAGATGTAGCTCGTGATACCAGCTTTATCATGGGCATGAGCTCGTGGCTTAGTGATATATGCTGGAAGCCGATATCCTTAGCTATCCGCCCAATCAGAGCTTCATGGTCAGGATAGGTGTAACCATGCATCAGACAAACAGCAATGCTGCGAATGCCTTGATCATAGACGCTCTTGAGCTTTGATCGGATGTCTTCTTGTTCGGCTCTTTTGAGAATTCTGACTGTCTCACCAGACAAACCTCTGACGAGAGTCTTGCCTTCGGCTTCTTTGGTACCAACTTGAGCTTCTGCCTCTGTTTGCGTTCTTTCGGGGTCTTCGGCGTAATCTTCGAGTGTAACCCGCTCGTCAATTTCAATGACTTTCTCATATAACACGTCGGGCTTCCGAATTGCAAGGTCAAAGATCTTGGGCCTCGACTGATTTCCGATGGTCAGGCAATCCTTGAAACCTTTGGTAACGACCATGGCAATTTTTTCTCCCTTTCTCTCAAGCAAGGCGTTTGTGGCGACAGTTGTTCCCATCCGGATCGAGTCAATCTGGGAAGTGTCCAAAGCTTCACCTCGAGGAATATCTCTACCGAGGAAGTGGCTCATGATGCGGCGAATACCCTCAAGCGGGGCATCCTTGTAGTTGGCCGGGTCCTCGGATAGAAGCTTGATGATAATCTCCTTTCCATTGCTCTCTCCTACACAGTCGGTGAAAGTTCCACCTCTGTCAATAGCGATTCTAATACCGCGCTGTGATGTTGCTGTCATGGCGGATATCTTTCGGGATGTTGGTGAGGGGAAGAGGGGTTAAAGTGAAGGTCTCAAGAGCATCGAAACGTGCGGGTACGTTTAATGATTGTGACAGATGTTAGAAAAAATGAGAAAGGTCAATTACTTTCAAGCTGACGAGCTCCGGAACAAGTGTGCTCACTATTTGTGCAAGTTGAAGCTACTCGGGTGAGACTCTTGGGCGGCTATCATGTCGTCACAAACCCCACGTTGCGTGATTGGTAATTGATAGCTTCAATCACCCGAATAGGCAATTTTAAGGACAGTTATTCACTGAGGTCAATGTCAGGTATTTTCAAGAACAATGTTCTCTTTGATGGTGTGTTTTTACAACTACAAGCTGCTGAAGGGGGAAACAAAAACACCAAAAGAGTGGCAGAGAGTGAAAGTTTGGCAACTATATGCTTAACAACAAACAGCCAATGGCAATTATGGTTTGCTCTCCCGTTCGGTTTTGTCTATTGAACGATTCTAAGAAACATTACTGTGATAAGTTAAAGCCTGAAGTGTACCCCTAAACATTCATGCGTAATGGTTTTGCATAAGGCGGAGAGCAATCCCATGCAAAAAGAAACAAACAAAGTGATTTTTTATCACGATTTTGCCGTCAGCAAGACTCGAACTTGCGTTTTCAGTGCTTTCAAGTAGCCACAAACTGATGTACTGACCCCTATACGATGACGGCTTTCAGTTGTTTGTTGGGAAACGAGGCGTAAAGGAAGTTTATGAATACCTTGGCAAGCATTGGATGAAGCAAAAATCAAGCAAAATATCAAAAGGTTTGCCGTCAGCAAGACTCGAACTTGCGTTTTCAGTGCTTCGAAGAGCCACAAACTGATGTACTGACCCCTATACGATGACGGCTATTTTCCAATTGATATAATCCCTGTCACTTATATTGGGCTATAGACTAGCAGTGACTTGAGGTGTTTACCTATCATCCACGTTCTTGGCAGCAATTGATCAAAGAAAAGGAGCATTTTCATCTTATCAAACGACCAAGACAAATGCAGTTGAAATATGGCAATACCAAAACCGGACTTTGATAAGGTTGAGGTACATAGTTAATAAAGAGAAAAGGGAGGACTAGAAACCCCAGTCATCGGTAGTGGCGGATCCTGACTCAATCTAGCGGCGAGCTTATCGACAGCTTCAAGACACCGGAAAGCTTCGTAGAGTTCATACAGTATTGACAACAAGGTTCAACTCCAGCTGAGATTCATTCTATGTCTCTGCCGTTGCATATGCGGGAACTATTTCAGCCGGAGTCTCGGGTCCGGCGTCTCCGGCGATGCACGGAGCAGGTTACCGGAGACATGGGACGCGGAGGACGCCGGACGGCTCGAACGTGTCGCGGAATGGAGAGAATATCATGCAGCTAACAATCTGCCGGTAAGTGAAAACTGAAGGATAAGTCAATGTAAGATTTTGATCGACCGTTGGAGGCAGAATTTGAGATTGTCAGGAAACAGGCCACGAGTCACACAATATGTATGGCATGACTGGCACTCGACAGGATTGTCGTTTGCAAAATTCAATACGACAGCGTATTGTAGGTAGCTTCGGCTCTGAGCTCGCCGATGGGCTTTGTAGTGTTGACGTATACATTCATCCGTCTGGCGTCATTCCTTATTATAAGAACTTCAGACCTCAAAGAACCTGTCTGTGCCCCACTCACGAGATCAGCATGAAGTGAAATCTTATTGATTAGTGAGGCTTGCTAAAAACGCTCATTTCATCTCCAACGTCTGGAGATTGGGGTTGCTGGGATAAGGTGCTGTTCTCATTGTTGTCTCTCATCGAGTGATTCACTGACAACACACTCCCACCGCCTCTTGCTCTAAGCGCTTGGGTCGATTTGTTGATAGGTATTACAGAACAGCTGAGCCATTCGATTCATGGCCCAAGACACACTCAAGCTAAACCTGACTCGTCGGACCCCGGCTCTGAACTGTGCCAATGATGCAGTGGCTAGGACGCCAGGTTATGTACCACGACCAACTGCCAGCGCGAACCTCCAAGCTTGTTGGGGGGCGATCCCCATGCATTAAGGCCATGTTTTTAAATCCCTTCTGTTAGCCGATTGGAGATGAAAAGACTTCCAAGATGCAGGGTAACGGCTAGGGGGGGAAATAAAACACCGAACTTGACTACCTAGATGCAATAGCTTTAGATATAGATAAAAATATAATAAAAATTGTTTCTTTTATTAATATATATATAATAAAAATCACTAAGATTTTCTCTATTTGATAGATAATTTACTTTTTTACTAAGTATATATAAATTTGAGTATTTTTATAGATCTCTTTGTAGGCATAGTTGATCTCGAGTTCGGTGTTTTATTTCCCCCCGAGGAGCGGGCATTGGCAAGGTGCGGACCCTTATCCCAGTCCCTCTGGTCCCACGGCATGGAACCCCAGGAATTTGTCGGAAACACAGACAGTGAAGCACACAGGCGGCAGAACTGTAGCACGTTACGTACGCCGTGGTAGGCCTAGACCTCGTGGATACGAAGCTCAAGCTCAAAAGCAAGGGGACCAACAGCCAACCCAGTAATTCGGGTGAGCATCTAGAGCGCCAGGCGCGGCGATAAGCGTTTGGATGAGAGTAATTGAGGAACGAGGATGCACACTGTAGCAATGCAGATGCAGCAGCAGCTCATCAGATGAAGCTACTGGTGCTCTGCTTAGAATAGGTATCTCATCAGTGTAACAAAAACAACACAGCGAAAGACGCGGCTGCAACAAGACTGAAAGAGCCCTGAGTTGAGAGTTTGCTACATACTCACTCCCCCCATCTGCCGTCATCGTCGGCCTCAATTGTGTTTTCATGTGCCTCGGGTTGAAAAGACGAGACAGGCCAAGTTTATTAGCCCACCTGATCGACGTCACATCTCTCGCGCTCCGGACCCTTTTTCCAAGTCTCAGACTCTCAGTTCGGTCCAGTTCAGTTCAACACAGTCACGGCCAGCCCCGCCCAATCCTATTGCCTCCACCGCCCGCTTTCGGAGCCTCGCGGTGAACGACGAACAAGAACAAGAACCCTTTTCCTCGCTGTTGATTTAAGAGAGACGAGACGGGTCCGGCTTGGTCATTCCAGTTCCCCCAAAACCCAGCGCCTCTGCGGGTAAAAGTGGCCCATCGAATTCAATGGGTGTCCCATAATCAGTAAGCCAAAAACGGGAGAGACATGGAGGGGGGTGCGTTTCCACGAGCTTCTGCAGTTGTTTGTGTCTTTGTCATTTTACTTCCCATTGCCCATCGAATTGGAAATCGCAGAGCAAACTTTGATCGTGCACATGCGTGTGAGTGAGTCTGTGTAGGTATACATGTCGTCTAAAGAAGTGAGGGATCGTACTTGTGCATATGCAGTGCATGTGTAAACAAACGATCGGCTGGTCGACGTTGTTGTTCATTGCTGCTGTACATATGTAATAAGCAAGCTTTGGTCCCTGTGTCTGAGCATGGATGGACAAAGCAGACTAGTTATGCATTTCATACTGTGTGACAGCAGCGTCTTTTAACGATGGGACTGAACAAGGTAAGGTACCCAGCTAGGTAAACAACCAAACTTACACACCTCCCCCCCTGCTCCATGGCCGCGGCCTGAATGTGGTGAGAGCGATGAGCTGGAGGCGAACTGACCAGCCGCTGGCTCCACCAAGGCATGATTCATTCATCAGCCGTCTTGCCTTGCCTCGCCTCGCCTCGCCGCTCTTTATAAAGCCCCGACCAGATTCCTTTTCCACCGCCAACCTCTCTTTTGTTTTGATCGCTTCATCTTCTGTCACTGTCTTTGTGTGAATGAGTATTTGATTTGGTCCTTGCTTTCCGCGGATTTCTCGAAACGCCGTCACTGCATTCGATTTCCTATAAAGACCGCCTTACTTGGCTCAACCTATTACCGCTTTCAACACAAACTCTCACCGACTCAAGAACCTGTCCAGTTCATCTCTCAGAAGTCTACCTTTTCCACAAATTCAACAAAAGAATCAACGCCATGCCTCCTAAGCGAATCCGTTGCACCGCTGCTTCGTGCCGTGAGCCCGCTCAACGGATCGTCGGCGACTGCACCTTTTGCCAAGGTCATTTCTGCGGCAAGCACCGCCTACTAGAAGACCATAAGTGTACCGGTCTCGAGGACGTAAGTTCGGCATATCATACACAAACCCATGGTTGCAGACCCGCTAACCCACATGCAGTGCAAGAAGCAGTCTCACGAGCGTAACGCTGCACAACTCGAGTCGGAACGAACCCAGGTTATCCGGGGTGTGTAAATCGACCAACGAGAGTCATCATCACCTTACATATCTATCATGGTTCGGACCGGAGACTGGCGTCACTCCCAAGGTCCGCAATGCGCATTCTGACGGCCACGACGTAATGAGATTGGATTCCGAGACAGCATCTGCATTAGATGCATAGCGTTATTCGCCGGTGTATATTTCTATTCGGATAGTTGATGGTGCGTTGGCGTACAGGATATGATAAGGGGACGTTGTCCCCTCCTTTAGCGGGCTCTGAATTGATTCATTTATTCATCACATCACAAAGCGATATGTGTCCATTGAGATATGGTGACCCTTGGAATTTGTCGATCAACGGACAGTTTCAGCCGACTGCTGCTGCAGAGGCGGTGACATTGCTTGACTAATTGACTCAGAATGGAGTGAAGATCCGTTGTCTTGGCTTGATTACGTGTTGCTCGAGCCTGGCCTCGAATGCGACTTCAGGGAACCACCAGGACCCTGTCTTGTTTTACCGGCTTATCTCCGATATCGTATCGGACCCATGACTGATCTCGTGAGCGTCTATCAAGACCACGCATACGATAGTGCCGCCTAGGCTGGACCACGGAAGTGCGCCAGCAAGAGACTAATAACTTTGTCTTGGTAGAATAGGGTATCAATGGGTATCAATGCGTCTGGAGAGCAGTCTTTTCTGTCAGTTCTCAACGCCAACCTTCATAGGCGCTCATACACGTGGTCAAATCGACTTCTGCCAGCGACTCCGGCAACTCGATCCTGGGGATTATTATGGGGTGGTTGGTTCCGGGGGCGGGGCCGTTGATGGGGTTAATCGTCTGTCATGAGAACCTGGGAACCCATCATGCACCACCCTCTTCTTTGATTACAATGTTCTGTGAAACCTCCATTTTGACCAGCGTATCGCTCTGAGCCTCCGATCCAACTTCTTCGGCTTTGAGCCGACGTCCGGCAGACACCTTTGCTCGATCGGCAGCTTTGCATAGTCCTTCAAGGCCAAGATCACATTCACCGCACTTGCGACCGACAGGAAGACATACCGACTGTCCCAACCCCACCAGAAGATGATTGATCTCATGCCATCGATCTTGTGGGAGCCATGACTGAAGTGTTGTTCGTGTCTCCTCTGGGTTCTTCGTTTTGTGCCAACCCCAAAGATTTGTGATACGATGTACGTGCACATCAACACCAATCCCCAGATGTTTACCCCATGCTACGGACATGCAGAGATAGGCCATCTTGGGTCCGACGCCCGGCAGCGATACGAGGCCCTCGATGGTGTTGGGGATATCACCATCCCATGTATCGCGGAGTATCTCGGCTGTTTGCTTGATATATCTGAACACCAGTCAGTCCAATCTCGATCAGTCCATACCGATCGGGTGACACAAACTTTGTCTTGTTATTATGAAAGCCGACCGCCCAGATGAACTCGTTCAGAAGCTTGGGGTCGATTGCCAGTATGTTATTGAGGTTTAGTCCTGGGGGTGCCCCGGGTTCAAACGGTGGCAGCTCAGTTTGCATCTTCCTCATAACCACGGCGTTCACCGTGTCCTTTGTCTGACTCGACAGCATGAGCGCCACCAATGTGTGAAATCTCTGATCTTTTGGTGATGCGTTTCGATCCGCCAGGCGTTCGCATCCCATAGTGTCAACAGCTGCACCGTAAGCTCGCCCACCTGGTGCCCGCATCTTCCTCACGGTATCATAAACAGCCTCCCAGTCTGAGGGAGGGTTCACCTTCGTTACGCCAGTTGTTGCATCGAAGGCTTTGCGAGCGGGCTTGCGAACCCGTCGCGCTTTTGCTGGGGGTAAAGGGATATCATCTAGGGCTTCGTCGACCACTTCGGGCTTTACAACTTGGGCGGATTTCGAAAATTCGGTCTTAGTCACTACGGCACGCCTTCGTTTGCGAGCAGGACCTCCACTGTCTTCGATATCGGCGATCGTAGGTTTGGACTCTTCTGTTGAGGTAAAGGCGAATTTGGCTAGCGCAGACCTTGTCAATCGTCTTGGAGGTGAAACAGGCTCAGTTGTATGATCGAATAGTTTCGAAGCATCTCTTGATATCCGTGATGAGCGCATTTTGTTTGTTTTGTCTGATTCGTTTGGTAATTGTAGATTGTTCTAAGTCGCGACTTGTCATGGTCCCCTTTTCAATAGTAGGTTGACAAATGAAATCTAACGAATTGCAAAAATTGTCCCCACCTCCATCCAGTGTTAGTGGAGATACCCATATTCTGGATAGCTAGGTAGGTAGGTAGTCTAGGGTGATGCTTTCTCAAAACACACCCGACCTGGAACGCAAATAAAATGTGGAGGAAATCTTTTGCTTAGATCTTACCGAGGCCCATATGGCACTTGAGGTTTTGGGCCTCGAAGATATGTTGTGGAGGAGAATATATGTAAGAGCTCTAATTTGTTAAGCTGCCATGTGGTTTGTCGGCAAAGTAGCCTGGAGCTTTGTGAGATGAATTAGGTGTCTGGCAACTTTAGGAAGTCAGGTATTGCGGCCATCAAGGTTCCTGACCTCTGGCGTATTAAAGCTTTTGATAAAACACGGTGCCAGAATCTGGTCTAAAGATCTACCAAAATACACTAAACTTACCCAAGTCTTTTCATCCCTTAGGATAAAGGTCAGAAGTTTTCTTGCCTCTCCTTGCAAGAAGGATTAGCAGGACTAGGCAGTTCCTTGCCCTCTCATGTTAAATTGTTTGCCCTACTTAATAATTCAATAGTCGTGTCTATCAATTTCCTTATAGTTGTCAACTGTTGGCTGCATAGTCTTTGTCCCTATAGATTTAGGTTACTAGAATGATTGGATATTCCTGTGTAGATAACCTCACAATTACTGGCAAACGCGTACAGGACTCTGACCATAACTTATTAAAGTATTATGAAGGATTAAGGTTGACTTACCACGTAGTAGTCTAACTCGGTATCAACCTAGCAGGCTTTTGACATTGGTTGTTGACTTTTGTCATGATGGAAGGTTGCAGAGCTTCTGACAGTAGGCCATAGCAATTGTTCCTCCTACGTCGCGAATAGCAGTGGAGTGACTGGTACGCATCATGTATAACACTGTATCAGTCGCACAGGGCATTATTTAAGGTATCTATCAAGGTCCTCAAATTTGGCACTTCATAAGAGCGACTCCCGGTGCAGAGAGAAACAGTTTGCCATTTAACATAAAATTTTGATATCATTCATCTATACTACATTTTGGGTCATTAAATTTTAGGCTCAAGCTTTTGCATATCGACGACGGCACGGATGCAGTCGCCTTGCTTCATCGTCTCAAAGGCGTTGTTGATCTCGCCGAGAGTCTTGCGGTGGGTGATGAACTCGTCGACCTTGAGATCACCCTTCTTGTAGTCGGCGACAAGGTCGTTCAGCTGAGAGCGGCCCTTGACACCACCGAATGCACATCCTCGCCACACTCGGCCAGTAACAAGTTGGAAAGCTGTCGAGAGTTAGTATCTTCGAATTCCAATGCTCTTACGAGTAAACTTACGTCGAGTAGAGATTTCCTGACCAGCGGCAGCAACACCGATGACAATGCTCTCACCCCAACCCTTGTGACAAGCCTCGAGGGCAGCACGCATGACACCAACGTTGCCAGTGCAGTCGAAGGTGTAGTCACAACCACCATCAGTCATCTCAATGAGCTTGTCTTGGATGGATTGGTCACCGAGCTCGGTGGGGTTCACGAAGTGAGTAGCACCAAACTTGTCACCCCAGGCCTTCTTGGAGGGGTTGACATCAACAACAATGATCTTGCCAGCCTTACGGGCAGCGGCACCCTGAACGACTGAAAGACCGACACATCCGGCACCGAAGACGGCCACGTTGTCACCCTCCTGAACGTTGGCTGTAATGGTAGCAGCACCATATCCAGTGGTGATACCGCAGCCAAGCAGACAGGTTCGGTCCATAGGAGCATCGTGCTCGATGGCGACTACGGAGATGTCGGCGACGACGGTGTACTGAGAGAAGGTGGAGGTGCCCATGAAATGAAGTAGATCTTTGCCCTTGCACTTGAATCGAGAGGTACCATCGGGCATCAGACCCTTGCCCTGAGTGGCTCGGATCTTGCCGCAGAGGTTGGTCTTTCCGGACTTGCAGAACTTGCACTCCTTGCATTCGGGGGTGCTGATCGAGAAAACGTTAGCTTTTGCGAGACTGATCAAGGTATGAAAAATGCATACTAAAGGGCAACAACGTGGTCACCAGGCTTGACGTTGGTGACGCCCTCACCAACCGACTCAACGATACCGGCACCCTCGTGTCCGAGGACAATGGGGAAAGCACCCTCAGGGTCCTTACCGGAGAGAGTGTAGGCATCTAAAACCGCGTTAACACACTAATCTTGAGCTGATTTGCACGACTCAAGAGCTATGAGAGCTCGATACGTGGGTAGAACATACCTGTGTGGCAAACACCAGTGTAGTAGACCTGGATACGGACCTCGTTGGCCTTGGGAGGAGCAACTTCAATGTCCTCGATGGACAGAGGCTTACCGGCCTCCCAGGCGACGGCGGCCTTACAGGTGATGGTCTAGTGATAGCATCAGCAATGCGTCTTCATGATGGTTCTCGTCCAGGGCGGGGCACTGGGCATGATGAGGGGTAGTAAAGCTCGTAAAAGGTACATACCTTGCCCACGGTAGACATGTTTCTGTGTTGTGAGGATGAAATTGGCTGTCGATGGAGAAGGAAAGAAGTGAATAACAAGACAGACAAACAATTTGAGGGGTAGATGAATCTTCAAGGGGAATCTGTTTATGTACGTAGAAACAGTAGGAAAACCGTCCGCACACTCAGATCCCGATCACCGAGCAACTCCGGTGGTCAACAACGTACCCCGCAATTGGAGCTCCAATCCACACCCACTGAGATAGGAAAAGAATCGCGGCTTCGGGCATGAGATGAATGCTCATTGGGCGTATGACGCCCAATTTGACTCTCCTTACGTGAGAGCATTGTGCGGGGGCATTGGCAGAGTATGCCAAGGTACTGCACCATTGGTGTGAAGTGCTGAGACGGCCATTGGAAGAGATAGCCAGACTGCCCCAAAGACGGAATACTCCCTCGGCAGATGAGACCGATCTGGCCGACGGTTAGGGAGAGAAGCCGCACCTGTGAGTCAGGACGAGAACTCCTTGTGGCTTCACGGGGTCGGAAGACCTTCCGTTTGACGCCGTGCCCACTTGACGTGATCTTTGGCAAAAGGTTAAAGCGGTCTTGGTTCCGAAGGCTCGGGAAGATGAAGATAAGAGATTACTGGTACTACATTTCAGAATTTAGAAAGAAGCAATTCAGACCCTTACAAAACTTCAAACAAACGAGTTGGCCCCACCTTCAGTGAAGCTCTTTCTTTACATTCCGCTTTTGTTATCACTCATTACCTTATACAGAGGAAAAGCCCAGTTCGAAATGTGATCGAGTATTCGTATTTTGTCTCGATTTAGGCTTAACGATTTCCTCTTGATTTGCCAGAGCTCAATTACTGCAGCCTTTGTGGGCACAGTTCGACTAATGTGAAGTTTTACATGCCCTACAGATGCGACAAAGGAGCAGGAAACTCATCCTTTCAATGAAACGAACATGACAGACCAGCTTCACATTTTGCTGGGAGGATAACTATTGGCTTGGTTGAGTTAGAAAGCCTATCCGATGTCATGTGCAGGGGTTGTGTCGGATAAACAACGGCTAGTGTTACCCATCGCGATAGCTCCAAAAAATATCCCAAGCGCGTTCAGCTCAAGCAAACAGGAGCTTGCAACTCAACACCGCTTTAACAATTTATATCCATTCCACCACTAAATACAACCATCGCATGCGAAAACAGCGCAAGCCAACGCGAGGGAGCAAAGAACCCAGAATTAAATCCACGCGCCGATAAGGCCTAGCCAAATTCGAAGGCAGAGGAGTGCTGTCTAGCCATAATGGCATCTCGCTTCATTGTTCCGGACTCCAGTCCTCCAGCAAGCCCAGCGCCATCGACCCCAGACAAGAGCGGCCGCGGCACAGGTTTTTCGTTTCTTGCCGATAATCCTTCGACGACTCCAGCTGGACCACCTCCATCTTCAGCCGCTTCGTTCACACCCGCGGGTGCCCCGTCTGATTCATACATGGGAAGCTCTTTCATGCGTGGAATGACTGATACAAAGCCTCTGAGCTTTGGCGTGTCCAACAACTCATCCTCAGGAAGAAATCTTTTTGGTCGCACAGGCGCCTCGAGTAACCCGCTTGGTCGATCCATTAGAGGACGACAGCCTTCAGGATTGAGCCGCCAATTCAGCGCGGCGGACGAGGAAGATGAGGATCTAGACGAAGATCAAGATGCTGAAGGAGATGTGGAGCTCCCACCCCCACGAGTTAACCTTTTTCGCATGTCTACTGCTCCAGACGAACGCCTCGAGGATGACGAAGTTGACGCCGAGATCGAACGCTACATCGACCAAGACATTGCCGGTGAAGAAGATGAGAGAGAAAGCTATGGGGAAGACGACCATGTTTTCGAGCGCGAAGAATCCGAAGAACCCGATATGTTCTTGAACATGAGACATGACGATCGGCCCTATGGCCAGCCTATGATTGGCGATGAATCCGATCTCATGATGCTCAACACACCAGCCGCGACAAAACGAGTGCGTCAAGAAGCGGAGAGCATTTTCAGACAAACATCAGCCCATCTTGGCATGTCAGGGCGCCATGAGGGTTTCCATTTTGCATCGATCGCCAAGAATATGTACAGTCAGCACGGACATGCACAAATTATCGAACCCGCAGACATGATCCTCGAAACCGAAGAGCTCGTATGCAGGCTATACGAAGAGGGGGTTGGACCTGAGGATGACGTTGAGAAGATGGATAATTCTTTGTCTAACATCACATTCCGCCTGATTGATCTATGGAAGAAGACTATGAGTGGACTGCCACAACCAGAAGGAGAAGATTTTGCAACCATCGGTCCTGGTTTCAACAGTGACCCATTTGAGAAGGCCGCCTATGTCGCACAACTAATACTTCGAATGCATCACACTCGCTTCGGCACCAATACCGACGAGGAGAAGACGCCACCGCTGCCCGAAATCCTCTTCAACTGGATGCATGAAAATCATAACCTGTACCCTGACCAGGTACGTGAGGTCAGCCGCAACATACCAAGCCCTGCATGCCATCCTCTATTCTGGCAGACTATCCGGTGCTCCTTGCTGCGAGGTGATGTTGGCAGCGCATCCCATCTACTGAAAGAAGCTGGTTGGCAGAATGTTCGCCGAGGACCTAGAAGTGACTATGCGTACACGGGCAAAGCTCTTGAGAATGTGAGACGCTTTGCCGCTGCCACTAGCGAAGTCCTGGATCAGTGCCCAGGTACAAGATCAGAGTGGGACATCTGGAATAGCAACTGGACTCTTTTCCGAATTCAGGCTCGCGGATCTCTGAATCGAATGACCCTGTTCGCCGAAGGAAGGGAGCAGGATATCCAGGATTTAATGGACGACGAGTTTGCCCCCCAACAACAATCACTATCCACAATGGCTCGGAAGGCCTCCAGCCAAATACCTTGGGATATCTACGAGAACTTACAAACCGTGTATGGTATCGTTCTTGGTAACCATGAGGCCATCCTGGAAGTCGCCCAGGATTGGTGTGAAGCGACGATAGGCCTTTTTGGGTGGTGGCATGATGGGAATCAACGCCACAAGGCCCTGAGACTTTCACAATCGCAGTTACTGCGGGCATCATCTCGCTTCGCTGGCTCGGAAGACTACTTTGATCGACTGGCAACTGCTTTTCACATGGTTGTGCAGTCAGATCTTAACCCTAATGTTTTAAACCCCGTCGAAGTTGCGGTAGCCTCCGCTTTCGAAGGAAACGTCAATGCCGTGCTGGGATTCCTGAGGATTTGGTCATTGCCAGTGGCATGTACTGTGGCAGAAGTCGCATCTCTAGGCGAATGGCTCCCCGCTCCTACCGGACCCAACCTGTTTCCCACCGACAGTCTGGATATGGACGATCTCGCGCTACTGGGCGTAACTCAACCAGGACCCGATGAACTGGATGGCATCAAAGACACAACTCTTGTCCTGTACGCTAGGGAACTGGCAGGTATAGAGCAACTGTCACCAGAGCGTGATGGGTGGGAAATGGCCATACAGGTGTTGGGTCGAATGGATTCACCCGAGAGATCAGAGGAGACAGTGGGTGAACTCCTTCGAGATCTGCTTGCTACATTAGACGAGAACTCAGGACGGACGGTGGACAAAATTTGGACAATACTGAATGACCTCGGCATGATTAACTACGCTGAGGAAACAGCAGAGGTTAGTAATTTTGAGTCTAGTGCTGAACTAAACTGACCCGAAACAGACATTCGCAGAGATCCTTTCCAAGGAGTCTCACCGCTACGGCGAGGCTCTCTGGTACTATGCACTCTCCCATCGCTCAGACAAGGTCCGGGAGGTGCTCAATCTACTAATGTCCTACTCGCTTGTTCAGTCAACAGTCTACCCCTCAGAGAAGGATCTAGATCAGGATCTCAAAGATCTATTACGAAAGCGAACCGAGACCCTTGAGAAACGGGCCAAGCAAGATCTTGAAGCTGCTCAACTACTTGGCCGAATGCTCAGCGGTTACGCCACATTACGCAAGTTTTACGAACTCCGCGATGCTGAGGACCTGGAGAATATCTCGCCCACAAAGGCCCTCAAACTGAAAAAGCAAGCGGCATCTGCATTAGTTGCTGTTATTTCAAGTTCCGACGACAACATCCGTGGTGGACTTTACGACGAAACGCGGGATGCAGTAGTCAGCGAGGATTTCCTCCTGGCCCTGCTGGGAGAGGCCACTGTCTTTATTAATCAATCCCCAGCCATCGTCACACTCCCTCAGATCGATGTTCTGCTCAAAGGCATCGAGGATTTACAAACAGTTGGTGATCGAGTCTACTCGGCGTGCGACGATTTCTTCAATCTTGTATTGGCATCAGCCCAGGGGCTGAAGGGCTCTACACCACAAGATCTAATGGCCAAATCGACAGCCTCTCTAGGAGGAAGCTTCATGATGACCGGAAGCTCCGTGTTGGTGAATCATCTGCACAAGTCGATCTCGGCAGGAACAAAGGTCAATAGAGGATGGGACTGGAGGAAGGGTTGGCTTGCAACAAGCAAGGGCGAAGACGTTCTTCGAAAACTTCGATTAGGATTGGCAAAGGACCTGGCGACACTGTGGCTGGAAGACGCAGATGGTGTCGTTGCCTACTAGGTGGCATGTATTTGAACATGAGAGACTTTTTGATGCTTTGATATATGAGTTCGGACTGGCGACGAATGGAAGGCGCCTTTGGTAATACAAGACATGAGCGAAATGTAATATATGCCCCTATGTTCTCAGAATGGGAATTGTATCCAAAAAATGATTTATAGCCCCTAATTTTTCAACACATAGTTGCCCGTTCTCTTCCGAGGTTATACATATACCTACCTACCTATAGTACCTATGGGTGGGACCCATCTCCGCCGGCGTTCGGATCGCGGAGGCCCCCACATCCCCGGACACAGTTGTTAACGCCAATCGGCTCCTGTCAATTTACAATTGCCTAAAAAATTCCGCCCCGACTTCGCCCCCACCACAAATTTAGGGAATAACATCTGTAACAAGAGGACCAAAAGATTCATCGTTCATTGTTGCCGTGTATAGCCCAACATGGTTTCAATGGAGGTCGCCAGCCGCTCAGGCGGTGCCATGACGGTAAGCTATACCATTATATCAATTGGGAGCCTCTCTGCAGGAAAACACAGATGCACAAGCTGACCCTTACACCACGCGGTAATAGCAACTCTTGCGACGTTCCGGTCCTAATGCTATTCGATCAACCACCGTTCTATCTAACAACACAAGGAGAAACTTCTCAAGCGCGAAGCCTCTTCCTCCTACTTACGAAAAGCTATACACCAAGTACACCGATGTCCGTCGAGTTCTCGGCAAGCAGCGTCTGACCCTCGCCGAGAAGATCCTCTACAGCCATCTCGACAACCCCGAGGACTCCTTGCTGAACAACACCGACAATGGACGAAACATTCGCGGGAAGGCCAATTTGCGCCTCAAGCCCGACCGTGTCAACATGCAGGATGCTTCTGCTCAGATGGCTATTCTTCAGTTCATGTCCTGTAACTTGGCCAAGCCTGCAATCCCTGCAAGCATTCATTGTGACCACTTGATTGTTGGCTCCAAGGGTGCTGAGGATGATTTGTCTGCTGGTATCCAGACTAACAAGGAGGTTTTTGATTTCCTTGAGTCTGCAGCGCGCAAGTATGGAATGGACTTCTGGCCTCCTGGTGCTGGTATTATCCACCAGACCGTTCTTGAGAACTATGCTCTTCCTGGATTGATGATGCTTGGTACCGACTCCCACAGCCCCAATGCTGGTGGTCTTTCTACAATTACCATTGGCGTTGGTGGTGCAGATGCTGTTGAGGCCCTTGTCGGTGCTCCTTGGGAACTTAAGGCCCCCAAGATTTTGGGCGTGCAGCTTGTCGGCAAGCTGAGCAACTGGGCTTCTCCCAAAGACGTCATTCTTCGGCTCGCTGGCCACCTCACAGTCCGTGGTGGTACTGGCTCCATCATTGAGTATTTTGGTGAAGGCGTCGAAAGCCTAAGCGCCACCGGCATGGCTACTATCTGCAACATGGGGTAAGCTTGTCCTACAAGTCAGGAAGGGGATCTGGAAAATACTGACTTAATCTAGTGCCGAAGTCGGTGCCACAACCTCGATCTTTCCTTACACCAAGGCTTCAGCTAGATACCTTAACTCGACCCGAAGATCTCAGGCGAACAAGAACATTGAAGCTCTGGAGACCTTCGCCAGCAACAGCTCGGACCCTGACGCTCAATGGCAATTCAAGGCCGACGAGGGCGCTGAATATGACGAACTCATCACCATCGATCTTTCGACTCTCGAACCTCACATTAATGGCCCTTTTACACCAGATCTGGCCACACCACTCTCCAAGTTCAAGGAAGTTGTGAAGGAACAGGACTGGCCCCAGGTTCTTTCCGCTGGTCTCATTGGTAGCTGCACCAACAGCTCTTACGAGGATATGACCCGAGTCGAGAGTTTGCTCAAGGATGCCAAGAAGGCCGGACTGAAGCCTGCTGCTGACTTCTACATCACTCCCGGAAGTGAGCAGATTCGCGCCACGCTTGAGCGCGATGGCACCCTCGAGACATTCCAGGAGGCCGGTGGCATTGTTCTCTCCAATGCCTGTGGTCCCTGTATTGGTCAGTGGAAGCGACAAGATGGTGTTGAGAAGGGCACAAGTAATGCTATCCTGACCTCGTATAACCGAAACTTCCGTGGCCGAAATGATGGCAATCCTGATACCATGAACTTTCTGGCCTCTCCCGAGATCGTTACCGCCATGGCCTTTGCCGGATCCACTACCTTCAACCCCGTGACCGATAGCATCAAGACGCCAGATGGCAAGGACTTCATGTTCTCTCCTCCTCATGGTCTCGAGGGCCCCCAGACTCCTTTCGAGTCTGGCAACGCCGAGCTTGGTGTTTTATCCCAGGCCCCTGACCCCAACACCAAGATTGCCATCTCTCCCACTTCCGAGCGTTTGGCCTTCCTTGAGCCCTTTGCTCCTTTCCCCTCGTCTGATCTCTCAGGCCTTCGCGTTCTTGTCAAGGTCACAGGCAAATGCACCACCGACACCATCTCCGCAGCCGGCCCTTGGCTCAAGTACAAGGGTCATCTGCCTAACATTAGCACCAACACCCTCAACACTGCCATCAACAAGGAGACCGGTGAGGTCAACGCTGCCTACGACCTCGACGGCTCCAAGCACACTATCCCTGAGCTTGGCCAACTCTGGAAGGAACGTGGCCAAGAGTGGCTTGTCGTTGCTGAGCACAACTATGGTGAGGGCTCAGCCCGCGAACACGCTGCCCTGCAGCCTCGCTACCTTGGTGCCCGTGTTGTTCTGACAAAATCGTTTGCCCGTATCCACGAGACCAACCTCAAGAAACAGGGCGTTGTACCTCTGACTTTTGAGAACGAGGCTGACTATGATAAGATCGCCGCTGGCGATGAGGTTGCCACTGTCGGCCTATATGAGATGCTCCAGAATGGCGGCAAGGGCGATGTTCAACTTCGTGTCACTAAGTCTTCTGGTGAGGAGATCCTCATTCCCACCAAACACGCTGTTACCAAGGACCAAGCTGGTTTCATTCTCGCTGGCAGTGCTCTCAACCTGCTGTCTAAGGGCATATAAGACGAGCCGCTCTCTTCCTGAGCATTAGTAGATATAGCTTTCAGGCCACGTGATAGTTTCCTCTCACGATGCCTAAAATGCCTGAGTTATGTATTGGACTGAAGAAAAAGGGCGTTTTTGGTTGGGTAAAAATGCCGAGTGATAGATTGTTTATACCAGCAATACCAATTGTTTCTGTTCTCTAGCCTCTCCCACAGTTCATAAATGAGCAACATGCATATATGCGCCTGTTTTGTGATCAATTGGTAAGATACCTATATTGCTTCTTAGAGAGGTGGAAGCTTCCTAGCTGTGTATCACCTAATTCGAACTCCTGAACTCCTGTGGCATATTTACATCTAGATCGTTGGAATCCTTTGCCCCCCGTTTTCAAGAACGAAGATGGCCGTTTGCCCAAGATGCGCGTAGTCAAAACTCATCAAGACAGCCTCCTTGACTCCTTCGCAATGCACCGTCATCATATATCATGTGAATTCATCAAGCGTTCAAGCTCTGAAAGTAACTCTCTGTCTCTTTCGTCTTGTTGTTGACATGTCGCTGGCGTGCAGTCGCCTTAACCTCGCATTCTCTGAACCAAGCGCAGGCTTTCAACCAAGCAGGATTACTCCGCACATATTCAGGCAGTTCCTCCTCGGGCAGGTCACCAAAGTCAAGAATACGCTTGACCCCCCTCGGCTCTGGTGGTATGTAGGGGGGAGGAGTCCCGTCTTGCTGAGCTTGCTTGATTTTCTCTTGCTTCTTCACCTCTAGAGCCTGCAACCAGCGTCGTCTCTCCACAACCTTGCCAAACCACTCTTTGCGTTTTGGACGCCGTCTGATTTCGTCGCACTTCTTTCTATACCAGGCATGGGATCGCTTATGCATGTGATGGATTGCTGGATTCACCGGAAGATAGAGTGGCTTTTGGTCGCCGTAAAGTGGATGGTACTTGACCATACGCGAAGATACAGTAACATGCGGAGGTGGTTGCAAACTTGACTGTCGATAAATGAGAGAGTCGAATGCCTCAGAATCGAACTCGACCAAAAGCCTCTTTTTGCGGGCTTCTGCTTTGGCACGGGGAGAGAGCGACACGGGTTTGGCCGGCTTTGCTTCCTCGTCAATGTCACTAACATCGGCCATATTCACCTCATCATCGATTTCGGCGCTGACTTCAGGCAGGGAACCTTGAAAATCCTCTTTCCTGACTGGGAGCTCTTTACTTGTCATGGGAGCCGAGCGCTTAGTGGGAGTTGATAAGAGCTTTGCTTTCGAACTCGTTCGTGTTTCTGGATAAGGATGGTCCGAATTCTTCTGTGCATTGTCCTTCTTGGACTTGGATGTCCGAGGAGAAGACCTAAATTTGACACCATCTTCAGAGGTAAGCTGCATATGATTCACAGGAGCGGTGGAAGAAGCGCGCGACTGAGAGTCAAGGCCTAGGGAAGGCTCGGTGTTCTTAAACCCTTCCTTTGGAGGAAATTCAGAAGACGCTTGCGCCGTCCTAGTCAAGTGTTGGCTGTCACTTGCATCGATAGATTGCCCATTTTGATGCGCGTCCATCTTGGGATTCTCTGTGGGGTGCGTTGCCGATCCAATATTTGAACAGGAACTCAGCTTTTTGGTGGCACGGTCGAGGCCAAGTGGCTGGTTTATCGCCTCCTCTGTCCCGGCTCGTAAATCCATAGCCAATGGTGTCCCCATATTCGTTACAGTATGAGAATTTACCTGGTTAGTAGAAGAGTCCTTATCAGCTTTCGCTACATCTTGGACTGCCTTACTCTGCGCGGAGTCGGGTGTTAATCCAAGGTGGCTGGTTCCGTTCCTCTCTGGCTGGGGATGAGGGTTTTTGTCATTATCAATGGATTTGTCTTGCACCAAAGATGAAGCAGGGGCCTCTCGCTCATTTGCTTCCGGAGACTGTGTCATGGGAGCGCTGGTATCCGGACTAGACGTATCTCGAGATGGTGGATCATGCCTAGAAAAGTGCCGCGAAGGTGTAAAGACGAA